CAGCATTGTTTGTAATGCTTCAAAGATAATCTTTGGCACATATAGTGTTTTAATTTCCTCTAGTACCTTGTTTTCTTTTTTCAAAAGAAATTTTAAAATTAAGAGTACTTAGTGGTTAAAAATGGCTATGCTGTCCTGGATTTGTGATTTTAGGAATGTTACTTAACCTCTGTGTTTATGATTATATGAGATAAATGAACCTACAATGATTAGCATGGTACTCAGCCTGTCATAGGGTGTTCCATGAGAGTTATGTAGAGACTTTTCCTGGTTCCTACTCCCCTTTTCCTTTTGTCCTCAAAGCCACATTAGTTACTACTAGATCAAGAGGCATGAATAGTCCAGGTCTTATACTTCCGACAGATAAGAAGACCTGAGAATTGGGCCCATTTCAGCTTTTTCCTAAGTATTGCCCCAGCCACTGAAAGATCTGCTTTATCTGTCCATTTTGTAGTAGTAAAAATTTAGATTTTGAAATGTTTTACTAGTATGTTCATAGTAATCACAAGAATATCTAACCCCCCCCCCCAACCTCATACAAGAACATCCTCTGGTAACATATGGTGGTCTCAAGAAGTTAGATGTAACCAACCTGCATTTGCTCTCTGCCGAGAGGGCTGGTTGGATGGGGAGAGTGCAGACACAGGACTGGGCTAGCCAGTGTACATACACGTGCACACTCCTGCAAAGACAGGCAGATGTGCATGCACTCCTGTGCAAGGGCTCCCCTAAAAGTCTCTCTACACTCATGGATTGGTTTCATCCATAAATCTCAGGAGGGGAGAATCCTTTCAAGAGATGAATAATTGATGAACTCTAGACAGCAACTTGCCATAAATATAACCCATTTGCCATTAGAGAGTGTGGGACATCATCCATTTTGTAGAGAGGAAGAAGAAATTGGCCTTGTGTGGAGGTGCATGCTGAACTCTAGGGCAGAGGTGAGGCTGGAAAGTTCAATCCCTGGAATATCTGCTGTGGATCAGAGGAGCTGAGCCAGTGGTGTGTATGGCCGGGGACGTGGTGGGTGGGATTTGCTGGCCAGCTAGGTGGGAAGCAGCCACCACTCTCTTGGAGTCCAGTGAGAATTTGCTCTTGGAGATTCCAGCATCGAGGATGGGCCACTGGCCTCTGTGAAGGTTGACTATAGACTAGGACATTCTGGCTGTGAAAGCACCTTGGATGAGTTTCTTCTGATATGATGTGTAACTGCTGACGGTCAGCAGAACAGCCCTCTGGACTCTGTTTCTCTTCTAACTTCCTCTTTCTTAGAAGCCCTAAGAAGGTAGGGTCAAATAAGGACTTTGCTCTTTCGAGATAATATTCTTTATCTTCCCTCTTCCCTTCTAGTTCTCTTTAATAGAGAATTGCTGATCTGGCTTTGCTGTGTTGGGAGTCAGGAAAGGCCTGGCAGACCTAGTGTCTGCACCTCTCACCGTGTTGTTGCCCAAGTGAGGTGTTTGGAGTTTCATGCTTCTCCAGCCTTGCCTGGCATCCGGGGGTGCTGTGGAGCCTCCTGGGTCGGGAGGGCAGGCTGCTGCTGCTGAATACCTGCAGACGTCTCTGCTACCTTCTTCGGAGCCTGAGAAAGGGGGTTGGCTGTAGAGGAGTAGGCAGGTGAGACCTTGGGAGTCCTGACCAGGTTGCAGGGGGCAGGGTCACATTCCAATAGAGGTTCCTGGACCCCTGGAGGAAGATCTGGAGCCTTCTGAAGGTTAGAATTGTGACTGGGGGTGGTGCTGCTGTTGTATGTACCTGTCACTTCTTCAGGGAGTAGGGTGAGGGGTTAGGTCTCTTCTCGGATCTGAGAAAGGTGTCTCTCTGCTTCAGTAATGTTTATCACCTCTCAGTCTTTCAGTAACAAATCCCTGCTGCCCCTGTTATGATTGGAGGACACCCCCAATGTGGGGAAGACCTAGCCTGGAGTGGCTAGACTAGAGCCCTCCCAGTGATTCTGTGAGGCAAGGAAGAGACCTGGTAGGGGGTGGGCATGAGGGTCCCAGTGAGGGCAGAGAGGGTTTCACACTTGGATGTCTGCCATAAGAAAAGGCAGCTCTAGAATCTTTGGGGAGGCCGCTCTGTGGTGGGTGGATTGAGGGACGGGGGCTGTTCTGAGGCCCATTGCCAGGTTCCTGAGTGCTTTGTAGCAAAGGTATTCCTAGTGGTATGCAACAGCCCTTGCAGACCTCTGCCATGTGTGGATGGATGGGTCTCATACTCGCAGAGAGATCACTGACTTTACCTAGAGCTTCTGCGGGCTGTCCTTTCAAAGTACAAGGGTGATGAGGCTTGTACCAGCTAGGTCCCTCGGGAGGAATAAGCAGCAGATCTTTTTGAACACATCCTGGGAACTCCCTGCTAGGTTTGGAAGGTGTGTGTGATGGAAGCCTTGTCCCCCGAGAGCACCCCAAAACTTAATAGCATTTAAAAAAAATCATTTTATCATGCTCATGGATTCTGTGGATTAGAATGTCAGGAAGGACACAGCGTGGGCAGCTTGTCTTTGTTCTTCATGTTTAGTGTCTCAGCTGGGAAGACTTAAAAGCTAGAGGTTTGTTTTCTTGTGTTGAGAAAGAAGAAAAATCTAAGGTAACTTGATGTCTGGGCTGGAATCCTCCAAAGGCCCCTTCACCCACACATTTGGCAATTGATGGAGCTATTGGCTTGGACCTCAGCTGGGAATGTCCGCCATTCCTGCATGTGCCCTGGGCTTTCTCAGCATGGTGGCTGGGCTCCACGAGTTAAGTGTCCAGAAAGAACCAGTCAGAAGCTGTCACTTCCACTGTTGTCACAAGCCCACCCAGATTGAAGGGGAGGGAACATGGACCCTCCTTCTCTCTGTGGGAGAAGTACCAAGTCCCCACAGTAAGAAGAGGATGTGGGATGGAGGGATTGTAGTGGTGATATTTAGAAAATGGTCTGCCACACATACTAAGCCCTTGATGCATGCAAATGGCATGCATAAAATCTGAAAGCTGAAGCCAGGGTGGCCTATGAGGAAGAGTTACTAAGTTGGTGGCTGGGAGTCTCAAGGGTGGGTGAGATATGTTCAACAATAGAGATTATAGGGTGGAGAAAACAGTGTATGTGTGGTGGGGGAGGAGGCCTGGGGTACAGAGTTACTTGGTGGGACAATTAAAAAGGGTACAAACACAGAAAGACCCTGATTGGGAGGGCAGGAATGGAAGAGGAGGAGACAGCTCACATTTAGAATGGTTTGGATCTGATGAGTGAGCATATTGGAAGAACGTGGGTAATGTTGGGTTTGGGAATGCTGGTGAGTGCAAAAACAAGAAAGTTGGAAAAGGAGCTGTCCGAGGTGGGAGGGAGAGTTCAGTTCTGTTTTAGACAAGTGACTCAGTGGGCTTGTAGCACTGTCCAGGAGGAGGGCAGTTGAGACATCCAGACAGAAAGCAAACATTTAGGAGCATCCTCTTAGTGGTGTTTGCTGGAACCCAGAGGGGAACGAGAATAGAGGGGGGAAAGTGTGGAGGTTTTATAGTTAGGTCATGTCTCAGCTGGGACTTCTCAGCAGGGCCTACACTGGCCTGCATCCTCCTCCAGCTCCTGCCTCCTTGCCGCAGCAAGTGCCAAATAACTTCTGGGTTTCGTTTTTAGCATGTCCATTGATAAGAACTTGTTACCTCTTGGTTGTTAGTGGGACTGGACTTAGTGCATTTTTTAGTATCTATATTAAGAAAACTGTTTCCTAAATGGAGCCTGAGTTCTTCTCTCTACAGCGTTACCCATTTTCTAATTCCACCCATAAGGCCACTCAGAACAAGTGTAATTCTTTTCCCTTCAGACGTTTTAAAGACCATGGGTGGGGGTTGTCGTCTTCAGAACCAAAAAGGACCTGTTCCTCCTATAGATTTGAACTGTCCTGCTCTCTCTCCTCTGAGGCCCCAAAGGGAAGCCCACGTCCAAGTAGGGACTGTGGCGCAGATATGGCCTGTGCTGTGGGGCCTGATCAGATCCAATCAGAGCTGTGTGTATCACACTGTGGGTCAGGACCTGTTAGTGGACTATGAAAGTTGTAACCTGCATTAAAAAAAGAAAGAAGAAAGATACATTAGTGCATCAAGTAAGGGGGGAAGTATTATTTTGTAAAACTTGTCATATATAAGTACATAATAAACCACAGTGTGTAAAATGCATTTCTTACTGTGGATTGTAGTCAAAAATTTGGAAAAATCTGTGGATTATAAAACCCCTTGAAGCTGCCATATCGTATCATATTGAGTATGTTACCATTTAGCTCTTGATGTTTTACCCTCCTGAGTCACAAAACATTTTTATGTGTAACTGCTGCTGCTGCTATGTGCTTATCCCACCTTTAATTTGCACAGATGTGGTTCGAGGTCTAATTAGCATGGATTTGGGACCCTATCTACCTGGTTAGATTTTTTTTCTCTCCAGCTTGTTGGCCTTTAGGCATCTGGTCCTGTCACTCAACATATTATCCCTCCTATTTTCAACATATGCCTATTTTAATAGGTATGCCTTCTCTATCATAATTGATAAATATGTTGAACAGGACTGTTTTGTGGCAGACCACTACAGACCCTTCCCCCAGTCAATATACCACTTGCACCCTTTGGGCTTGGTCATTTAACCCCGCTGAGCCAGCCCTTCCAGCCTGTACTTCTGCCCCTAGCCTCAAAGGGGTCATGGCAGACCTTGTGAAACTTGAACATCTATAGCCCTAGTTGCAAACCCAAAAGCCTGCAGGGGCTTGGCAGGTAACACAAGTGAATAAAGTGATAATTAATTCAGGCAATTAATAAGTAATCCCTGACACTGGCCTTGGTTTCAAGAAGGCAGTGTGGAGTGGTGAAGCTGGGCTGAGCTGGAGCAGTTGTGTTCTGTGGAAACCACTGCTCAAGTTACAAATTTGTCAGGCAGAAGCATGCACCTTCAAGAAAATCTGGGTTTCATGTGGAATTTGAGTTTTAAATGTTGGCAAAACAAATAAAAACGTGAACACTGTATAGACCGACTAAAACAGATCTGTGGCTTATTTGGCCCAAAGCCAGCAGCTTGGTGACCCGTTGGTCATGGTATATTTCCCCATGGGCTGGTCCATTGACCACATGACACAGAGCAGAGGGATTGGTTAGGTGCTGACTGGTTGAAGGCCTTCCGTGGAACCTGACTCCGCGTGGTTCCTCTAGTTCCATTCAGGAAGCGTCCCTGGGTCTGTCCTCAGCTCAGTGGACTCAAAATTGGGAAGGACACTTGCCCTTCTCTTGCCTGTTGGCACCGTTTCTCTTTGGCAAGTTTCCTCCAGGATGACTGGCAGCTGTTGAGAAATGTATCAGTGGGATCCCTTAGTTGGGAAACGGGAATTTAGAGTTTTTTAAAATCCTCCCACCAGTGCTGGCTTCACATAGCTTCTCTGTCTACTTTTACCTTTCTTCTCTTTTTGGTCCCAAAACTGTTTTCCTTCCCAGGGAATTCAGAGACACAAGAGCCAGCCTATCCCTTCCTTGTTCTTATTCACGCACCAAAAATAACTTTTAAAAAAATCCCTTTTAGTTGTCTTGACTATTTTGGGGAAGCCTCAGCTCATATAGCATTAGTCTTCCTGACGTTGTTTTTGTAAATCCATGCTACTCTCGTGTTTCTTCTTTGTTGTGCATGATCCTTCTTTTATACATAAGCATGTAAAATTTGACCATTTCAGATTCTGTAACCTTTGTTAGCAACATTAGTTTTCTAAGAAAGAAAGAAGGGAATATTAAGTGATCTACCACGCTCCTAGACTTCTGAAAGGTAGTCTTCCACCAAGGGCAAGGAAAGGCTGGCATATTCCATGGCCAGTGGGGTACGGGAGGCCTTTCATTCACTGAGAGTATGTTACTGTGCCCCAGCTATGGGCAGGAGGCACGGAAGCCATTACTATTTGGACCTTGCCTGGCAGGCTAATAGAGGTGTCATGGGAACCTGGGGAGGGAGCCACAGGTAATTTGCCATGAAGGTAGGGGAGGAGGTGATGCTTGAAGGATATGCCAGAGAGGCCTTTCTAAGAGGCTGGGAAGGGCATTACAGGCAATGAGGACCACATGTACAAAAGTCAATGACATCAGAGAACATGGTTTGTTAGACAAGTATGAGGGTCCTTTGTGACCAGAATGGGGTCAGTGACATTGATGAGGCAGGGACTGCAGGCTGGGGCCTCTGCTCACCTTGCACAGGGCTGCCCCCAAATCCCAGTTTCACAGCATTATTTTGGAGTCTGTGATAGCCACGTCTGACAGTCTTGGTACTAGCATCATTGTAGCCATCTGCTTAAAACATTTTATTTTCTACCTGAAGGACTAATTTCTTTTTTAGCTTTTTATTTTGACAGAATTTAAAAACTTACAGGAAAGTTGGAAATACAGATGCTCCTCGACTTATGGGGTTGCCTCCCAGAAACCCATCATAAATTGCAAATATCATAAGTCGAAAATGGGCGTTTTATAGACCTGATGGGATGTGAAAACACAAAACACAGTATCCAAAAAATACTGGGAACGCAGCGTGCTGTAGAGTGTCAGTGGTTTACCTTAGTGATGGCGCGGCTGCCTGGGAGCTGAGGCTCACTTCTGATTCCCAGTGTCACGAGAGAGTATCCTACCACATATGGCTAGCCTTGGAAAAGATCAAAACTTAAAAATCAAAGTGCTATTTCTACTGAATGTGTGTTGTTTTCATATCATCATAAAGTCAAAAACTTAAGTCAAACCATCCTAAGTCGGGGGGCTGTCTTTACTGTGCCCTTTTATCCCTAAATACTTCATTGTGTGTCCTAAGAACAAGGACATCCTTTTATGTAGTCTAATGATCCAAGTCAGAATTTATCTTATCCATATTCAATTTTCATATATTGTCTCACTCATGTACTTTATTGCTGTTTTCTCCCAGGCTTACTATCTAACCCATGAACACATGGCTAGCTGTTCTTTTTGGTCTTGTGTAAGCTGAAAGAAGTTGTTTGTCTTTCTTGACTTTGAAATTCTGAAAAGAACAAGCAAGATACTTTCTAGAATGCCCTTCAATTTGGGTTTATCTCCTGTTTCCTCACGATTAGATTCAGGTTATATATTTTTGGAGAAGTTCTGTGTGTGGTATCAAGTCCTCAGTGTCTTGTATCAAGAGGTACATGATGTGGGTTTGTCCCAGTCTTGGTGATGGTGATAATTTTGGTCATTTGGTTAAGCTGGTGTCCCTCAGGTTTCTCTACTATAAAGTTATTATTGTGTTATAATTAAGTAATTTTCTAGGAGGTGTTTTGAGACCTGGCATATATCCTGTACCTCATTAAGCTTTTACCTGCTACCACTGATGACTGTCTAAATCTGTCATTCCTTCTGTTTTTTTCTTGGCATTCTACAATAAGGAAGAGCTTTCCTTTTCCTTTTCCTTTCCCTTTCCCTTTCTTTTTTTTTTTTTGGTTTGAGATAGGGTCTCGCTTTGTTGCCCATGCTCTAAAGTACAGTGGCATCATGATAGTTCATTGCAACCTCAAACTCCTGGGCTCAAGTAATTCTCCTTCCTCAGTCTCCTGAGTAGCTGGGACTATAGGGGTGCACCACCATGCCCACCTAATTTTTCTGTTTTTTGTAGAGACAGGGTCTCGCTATTTCCCAGGCTGGTCTCAGAGCTTTTCTTTCTTGAGGGATGAATCTGCGAACTCAATTTCACATTTTGTATTAACTTTTAACTTACTGAGCTGGGCCTTCCTGGCCCTCTCGTGCCTTCTCTTCTTATGGATGTGTGGTGTATGGTGGCTCCTGGGCTTGGGAGAGGCCTGGTCTTTCTCTATGTAGTAATTCACTTGTCATTGCCAGGGCTGGCTCAGCATGGGACTAAACACACTCTGTGTCAGGTCATCAGTGTCTCCCTCTGGCCTGGGGTTGTGCAGGAATGTGGTCTATCGCCAGCTCTCTGAGCTCAGACTGGGCTTAAGTGAGGACACCAAGAGAGAGGAAAGAACTGTGGGTTCTTTCCAGCAGGAAGCTGTGGCTGACCCCTGGTCCAAGCTGAATGTGTCACTCGGAGCTGCTTTCCCCCTACCCCTGCGCGCACACACTTCACACTTACAGCACATGACTGGCTTGGTTAGCTTTCTTTCCCTCTTGATAAAAAACAAAATAAACACGGTCCTAGAGTGACTTTGGTCATTTTGAGTTAAGGACCTTATTTGTGTCCTTGGTATCAGGGGAGCCTCATCGGTGTGAGTGATCTGAGGCTCTAAAATGGTCTGAGCAACGTTGAGAATTCCCCATGAGGATCTTCTCTTTAAGGAGATCTTAAAGATCCCTAGGGAGAAAAGGCATGGGAAGATGAACTGAGGTTCAAGAAGTGCCGGAGAGAGGATTTACGAGAAAAGCCAGGTTTAGATGTGCATCTGAGTGGTGTGAAGCAGAGAAATGCTTTTCAAATAGTGTGGTTCATTTTTTTCTTTTTTCCCCCCTCTCTCTTTAGACAGGCTCAGAGCTCAGCCCAGTTGATGGACCTGTTCCAGGTCAGATGGACTCAGGGCCAGTGTACCATGGGGACTCCCGGCAGCTAAGCGCCTCAGGGGCGCCGGTCAATGGTGCTAGAGAGCCCGCTGGACCCAGTCTGCTGGGGGCTGGGGGTCCTTGGCGGGTAGACCAGAAGCCTGACTGGGAGGCTGCCACAGGCCCAGCTCACACTGCTCGCCTGGAAGATGCCCACGATCTGGTGGCCTTTTCGGCTGTGGCCGAAGCTGTGTCCTCTTATGGGGCCCTTAGCACCCGGCTCTATGAAACCTTCAACCGTGAGATGAGTCGTGAGGCTGGGAACGACAGCGGGGGACCCCAGCCAGGGCCTGAGGGCTGCTCTGCTGGCAGCGAAGACCTTGACACACTGCAGACGGCCCTGGCCCTCGCGCGGCATGGCATGAAACCACCCAACTGCAACTGTGATGGCCCAGAATGCCCTGACTACCTCGAGTGGCTGGAGGGGAAGATCAAGTCTGTGGTCATGGAAGGAGGGGAGGAGCGGCCCAGACTCCCAGGGCCTCTGCCTCCTGGTGAGGCTGGCCTCCCAGCACCAAGCACCAGGCCACTCAGCAGCTCCGAGGTCCCCCAGATACCTCCCCCGGAGGGCCTGCCCCTGTCCCAGAGTGCCCTGAGTATTGCCAAGGAAAAGAACATCAGCCTGCAGACGGCCATCGCCATTGAGGCCCTCACACAGCTCTCTTCCGCCCTCCCCCAGCCTTCTCATTCCACCTCCCAGGCTTCTTGTCCCCTTCCTGAGGCCTTGTCCCCTCCGGCCCCTTTCAGATCTCCCCAGTCTTACCTCCGGGCGCCCTCGTGGCCTGTGGCTGCCCCTGAAGAGCATGCATCTTTTGCTCCTGATAGCCCTGCTTTCCCTCCTGCAACTCCTAGGACTGAGTTTCCTGAAACCTGGGGCGCCGATACCCGGCCAGCAACCCCTCGGAACTCCTGGCCCATGCCCCGCCCAAGCCCAGACCCCATGGCTGAACTGGAGCAGTTGTTGGGCAGTGCCAGTGATTACATCCAGTCAGTATTCAAGCGGCCTGAGGGCCTGCCCACCAAGCCCAAGGTCAAGGTTGAGGTGCCCCCTTCATCCCCAGCCCCAGCCCCAGCGCCAGCCCCAGCCCCAGCGCCAGCCCCAGCGCCAGCGCCAGCCCCAGCCCCAGCCCCAGCCCCAGCCCCAGCCCTAGCTCCATTTCCTGTTCTCAAGAGGGAGGCCTCCGAGCCAGACACCCACCAGAAGGCCCAGACTGCCCTGCAGCAGCACCTCCACCATAAGCGCAGTCTCTTCCTAGAGCAGACCCACAACAACACTTTCCCCCCTCCCTCAGAGCCTCCTGCTCCTGGCTGGTGGCCCCCCCCAAGGTCAGCTACCCCGCGGCCTCCAGACAGACCACCCAAGGAAAAGAAGAAGAGGGCCCTGTCACTAGCTCGGGTGCTTCTGGGAATAGACAAAGCTGCCCCTGGGATGAAGCCTGGTGTTCAAAAGCCCATTCAGATCAAGAGGTCTAGGCCACGGGAAGCGCAGCCTCTCTTCCTGCCTCTCCGGCAGATCGTCCTGGAAGGGCCAAGGTCCACAGCCTCTGAGGAAGTGCAGGCACCTCCACCTGCCCCTCTCTCTGCCGCACAGGGCTCTGCTGGCCCCCTGCCCCCAGAACCTTCTCTTGCGCTATTTGCACCTAGTCCCTCCGGGGACAGCCTGCTGCCCCCTACTCAGGAAATGAGGTCTCCCAGCCCCATGGCAACCCTGCAGCCAGGCTCTACTGGTCCTCTCCCCGCTGCCGATGACAAGCTGGAAGAGCTCATCCGGCAGTTTGAGGCTGAATTCGGGGATAGCTTTGGGCTTCCTGGCCCCCCTTCTGTACCCATTCAGGACCCTGAGAACCAGCCAACATGCCTCCCAGCGCCCGAGAGCCCTTTTGCTGCGCGCTCCCCCAAGCAAATCAAGATCGAGTCTTCAGGGGCCGTGACTGTGCTCTCAACTACCTGCTTCCACTCGGAGGAGGGAGGCCAGGATGCCACACCCACCAAGGCTGAGAACCCACTCACACCCACTCTCAGTGGCTTCTTGGAGTCGCCTCTTAAGTACCTGGACACACCCACCAAGAGTCTGCTGGACACACCTTCCAAGAGAGCTCAGGCCGAGTTCCCCACCTGCGATTGCGTTGGTAAGTCCACCTGGGTTTAGGGAAGGTGAAGGGCTGTGATCTGGTGGGCTTAGATTTCTAGGCTCTTTATTTGGCAACCATTTACTGTGTGTCAGCCACCATGCTGCGTCCTAGGAACACAGAAATGAGTTCATAGGCTAGTGGAAAAGACATTGAAGGAAACTGATGTGATACTGTGTGGCATGTGCCACCTCAGTAGAGGTGGGAACGGGCGCTTTGGTGTACAGATCAAGTCTAAGGCATCCTGGAGGACCTCCTGCAGGAGGTGGTGTTTGTGCTGAGTCCTGCAGGACTATCAGGTAGAAAGGGCACCTTCTAAGAAGAGGGAATAGCTCAGGCATCAGCTCTGTGGCTGGCGGAGGGTGGGACTTACTTGGACAGTTCTTAGTCTGGCAATTGCAAAAGCAGATGAGTATGTGTGGGGATGAAGAAAAGGTGGCTTGAGGTGATTGGGGGGGGGGTAGGCAGGGGCCGAATGGCACAGGGCCCAGGCAGTCAGGGTCAGGAGTTTGACATGACCCCACAAGTGTAAGAGTGGGCTCCTGAGGGTTTTAAAGCAACTGATGCCTTCTCACCTTGTGTTTTTTTTTTTTTTTTTTTTTGAGACAGAGTCTTGCTTTGTTGCCCAGGCTAGAGTGAGTGCCATGGCATCAGCCTAGCTCACAGCAACCTCAAACTCCTGGGCTCAAGCAATCCTGCTGCCTCAGCCTCCCAAGTAGCTGGGACTATAGCATGTGCCCACCTTCCCAGCTAATTTTTTCTCTCTTATATATATTTTTTAGTTGGCAATTAATTCTCTTATTTATAGTATAGATTGGGTCTCGCTCTTGCTCAGGCTGGTTTCAAACTCCTGACCTTGAGCAATCTGCCCGCTTCAGCTTCCCAGAGTGCTAGGATTACAGGCGTGAGCCACCAAGCCAAGCCTCACCTTGTGCTTTTGAAAGACCCTTCTTGCTTGTTGTGGGGTGGAAGATTGGTAGGGGAACTATCATAAAGGTGTCCTGAGCCAGGCAGGAAGTGACAAGGGCCTGGCTTGGAAGAGTGAAAGTTGGAAGGTCTCTTAGGGGGAGGGCCTCTGAGGGAGGAGATGGGAACAGCGCCGGGGGTCTCTGCTTGCGTGGTGGTGTCCACTGAGAACACACATTTGGGGGAGAGATGGTGAGTTCTTTTTGGGTGAGCTGAGTTTGAAGTGGCCGAGAGACTGGACTGGGATCAGAATTACGGGTTTTTGACATAGTTAGCGGCAGGTAGTGGTGGAAGCTGTGTTGTGGATAGGAGTGATGGGAGCTGAGTCAATGTCTAAACCTTGCTTTCTGGAATGAGAACAGGGCAGGGGCCCCATGCATGTCCTGTTTCAGAGGAGGTCACCGATTTAGTGGCAAGCTCGGGCTCACCCTCAGCTCCTGTGCCCTTCTGTTTATAGGGCTATGGGGCATTCTGAAAGATAGGTGCATTTCAGAGGCTGACGGGAAATCGCACTGATGCCGATGATGAACATGTTGAACTTTTGTGATTTTTATGATGCAGAAATGGATCTTAGGAAAAGGCTGTACTAATTCTTAAAATATGTAAATATCACGTAAATTGTGTAATTTGTTGGGATGTTGTATCCCAGTCAGTGGTGAGGAGCTGGGCTGTTCTGCCCACTCCAGCCACCCCACACTCCTGGGGTATAAGGAAGAAGGGTTGGTGACAAGGAGTCACTTTGGGAATAAGGAAAAATTGGCCCCTGTGCTTCTCTCTGGAGGTGAACAGGTGTGGACGGTCCTCCTGAGCACTCAAAGACATGCCCTGTGATTGTGGCTCCCACTAACCTTGTATTCTTAGATATGACCGATAATGGTGTGCCCCTGAGGGCCCCTTATCCCCCGTACATGGGGCAACCTTGTTCTGATGGTAGGAATTATGCCCCCTACTTTTGCCTTCTCTGTTTGTGTGTGCCTGTCCCACCTGCCTGTGTTTTACTGCCTTGTTAGTTGTTTCTCCTTCTCCAGAGTAAGAAGTAGTCTTACCTAGTGCTTAAGTTAGAGTTGATCCTTATTTTAATTGTTGAATTCAGTTATGTGGATATTACATCTGATCACACTAGTTTTTCTATTTGCATTCCAACTCTATTGCTTACTAGCTGGGAGCACTTGGGCACTTGTCATAACCTGTGAACGTCTCCATTTCCTCATGCATGAGATGCAAACAATAACAGTACCTACCCGACCAGGGCTGTTGTGAGGATTACATTAGTTATTATCTATAAAGCACTTGGAACCATGTCAGGCACATAGTAAGGACTATGAGAGTGTTAGCTGGAGTTGATAGTCAAGTCTATCAACTCCAGCAAGGCAAGAAAAAGGAGGAAAAACATACACTTTGTAAAAAATGTTGACTGTTCCTTTGTTAGTCATTTGTTGATTACCTAGCCTGTGTAACTACCAATAAGGATAAAAATTATGAGAAGAGGTTCATGCCATAAGTGTCTGCTGAGTGGCCAGTGGCCGCCTCTTCTGAGGCCTGTGCTGTCATGTGCAAGTGGCTAAATTGTAAGCGTGCCCTCTGGCAACACGAGGTTAGGTTGTCATCATGGAGGGGTGGGCAGTGTTTTATTTCAGAAACTCTTTTTTTTTTTTTTTTTTTTTGAGATAGAGTCTCACTCTGTTGCCCCGGCTAGAGTGCCATGGCATCAGCCTAGCTCAAAGCAACCTCAAACACCTGGGCTCAAGCAATCCTCCTGCCTCAGCCTCCTGAGTAGCTGGGACTACAGGCATGTGCCAACCATGCTTGGCTAATTTTTTCTATATATATTTTTAGTTGTCTGGCTACTATTTTTAGTAGAGATGGGGTCTCGCTCTTGCTCAGGCTAGTTTAGAACTCCTGAGCTCAAACGATCCTCTCGCCTCTGCCTCCCAAAGTGCTAGGATTACAGGCGTGAGCCACCGTGCCCTCCCTTATTTAGGAAACTCTTGTTCTTTGCTGTGTTTTGAGAAATGCAGCAAACACAGGTGGGGAGAGGTGAGAAGGCAGCCATTCCAAGGAATACATGAGCACAGCAGCAAGGAGCAAGTTTGCAGGATGGAAGGCTTGTGTCCCAGGGGTGGGCCCGAAACCACAAGGTTCTCCTGTATTCCTTGGACTGAGGAGCCCGACTAGCGAGAACACATCTCAGCTTGAAGCCAGTGAGTAAAAGTGCAGGCAGTAGAGTGAGCATCAGAGATGCTGGGGTAAGAGGTAAGGGGAGCAGAGGTTCCAGTTGCTGCCAATCATTCATTGCTCCAATTTGTAGTTTATTTGTATTTAATATAAATAAAATATTTGGGGTAGGTGTGGAGGCTCATGCCTGTAATACTTAACACTTTCGGAGGCCCAGGTGGGAGCATTGCTCAAGGCTAGGAGTTTGAGACCAGCCTGGGCAGGTAATGAGACCCCATCTCTACAAAACCCAAAAGTGGGCATGGTGGCCCACGCCTATAGTCTCAGCTACTTGGGAGACTGAGACAGGAGGATCACTTGAGCCCAAGGGTTTGAGGCTGCAGTGAGCTATGATCACACCACTGCACTTAAAGCCCACGCAACAGAACAAGACCCTGTCTCCAAGGAAATAAATTAATTAAATATTTGTATCTAATTTGAAACAAGGAGAACCAAACCTACCTTGTGTTGTTAGATGTTAAATTATAGAAAAATACTTAGGTGAAAATGGCAGAAACAAATAGTATATATAAGTGATCATCTCAGGTCTAGAAAAAATTAGAAAAAGACTGAAAGTAAATATACCAACAGCAGTTGTCTCTGTAGTCAGACTATGGGTGACTTTTCCCTTATATGTTTTCTGAATTTTATACAATGAAATATATAATTTATAATCAAGAACGATTTTTGAAAATACACTCCAGAAGTTCCATGGAAGAGGGATATGATGGAGGATGAAAACCTTGTGGCAGGAGACGAGTTAGGAAGCTGTTGAGAACAATAATAATAATGGCATTTATGAAACACTTGCTCCGTTCAGGGCATTGTGCCAAAGTACTTTATGGTCACCACCTCATTTAATCCTCTTAACAGCTACACAAGGTGAAGCGCTGTCAGTGGCTCCATTTTATTTTATTTTTTTTTATTTATTTTTTTTTTTTAAATTTTTTTTTCTTTATAGGGGCCAAACCACGTGGCTTTATTATACACTTGTGGACGAGGTTCTGGGGCCCCAAGAGCGGGGGGCCCCGGAAGTCGCCCAGTGGCTCCATTTTAATGATGAGGAAACAGAAGTTAGATTGGGTAATTTACCAAGGCCATACAAATGGTGAGAGTGAGATTTGAACCTTGGCAGTTTGACTCTTAACCACCATGCCATATTGTGATGGAAACGGGTGAGTTGAGAAACAAGTCCTACCTAAAACAATGGTAGTAGAATGAAGAGAGCCAAAGAACGACGTTTCTGCTCTGAAACAGTTTCTGAAGGGCCTGGGGTTCATGTTAGAAAAGGCCATCCTGTTTTCGAGAATTGTCTGGACAGGCACTTCATCAGCTGGCATGGTAGAATTTGTCTTTTTGGATTTAGCTTCAGAACAAGGCTTGGAAATAAAGGTGCTCACTGTGGGATTATTGTCAGATGGGTTAATTTCATATTCTAGAAACTCATCCCTAACCAGTGGTGTGTAGAGAGGGGCAGACTGCAGATTATTATAAAGAAGAATTTTCCATGGCAGTGACAGTGAAATTTGGAGATTCCATTAAGTGCACCTAATAATAGTTGATAATAAACTATGGGAACAACTTTATAAAAGCATAAGATTCTTACAGCATAGCAAAAGAAACCTATTCAAGTTATTTGGTAATTTTTGCCAAATAAGCAATTTTGGCCAATGGTAGGCATCACCAGGTAACCAAAACCCAAATGCCAAGAGCATTGTTTTACCTTTATATAAAAATTATTGGTTTCTGAAGGTCTGGGTGGGATTCATATGCATTTGTTCTCTGCATCTCGAAATACTACAATGAAAGGCGCACCCCTTGAAGATTCAAGTAAGTAAATGTAGAAGAAAGGAAATGCCTTCCTCCAAAAGGTAGCATGATATTAACAGTTTGAGAAATTTTAGCATAAGTTCAATTTCTAGTAATCTATTGAATTATTGCAGGGGACGTGTGGGTGTGGATATATTTCTAATAGTTTGAAGCACCCTTTGGAGGTGCACCTAACTGTGCTCTAACACTGTCCTCAGAGACAGGACAATGAGCTGCAGAGGCTGTTTGGCAGGTCCCTTGTGTATTTTGTCTATTTTCAGTAATGGGGAAATTCCCAAGAGGAGCCAGTTCAGGACAGAGAAAGAGTCCAAATGACTTTTAGTGGGAAAAGAAGCATCGTTTGAGATGTAGTCATTTTGTAGATGTCTGTGTTCGTTTTTAAGTGTCCTGATGTCTCTGGGGAGTAGCCCACAGGAAGCTTCAGAGACTAAATCACAGCAAAGGCAAGAGATTAGGGTGCCTCCATAGAAATGCTGTGTTTTTAGCCAGTCGATTATCTTACCCTAAAGAAGTGGCCACGAGGAAAATACCTCCTTTTGCGTGCAGCACGGTGACAGTCTTGGCGAGGGAACAGCATTGTCCAGTGAATGTGGCTGATAGCTACTAGGTGACTTGTATAGGCAACAGTGTCCTGAAAGGGGGAAGCAACATTATCTCTCTTTATAATCATGTGAAGTCTATTTCCTGCAGTTTCTATTTTTATGTGAGAAATCACACTCTATCCAGCATTCAGTTTGAGATGAAGAGAACCTTCATATCTTTTAAATATTTTTGGAGACAATGGAATATTTGGATACCAGTATAAAGGTGGGGAATCTGACCCCGAGTAGGAGGATATCAGAGAACTTTCTGGAGGAGGTGACACATGATTTTTAAAGGATACATAGAAGTTTAAGAGATTAACATGTGACTGGTGTGTAAGATGAAAGGTGGGGAGTGGCTGGAGAGGAGAGTTTCGGGGGAAGAGGGGATGATACCAAAGCCAGAGAAACCAGTTTGCGGGCTCAGGTGTGTAGTCCAGGCAAGAAATAATGAGTGCTTGAATTGAGAGAGTGACCTTGAGTAGGAAGGCAGAGAGGAGGGGCTGCTAAGAGAGAGAAAAGGAAAGAGAATTGCCTGCTTCAGTGACCAGTCAGATGTAGGAGTAAGGGAGAAGGAGCAGTCTCAGGCAAGTCCTGACTTCCAGGTTGGGCGGCTGAATGGGTGGTGCTGTCATTTGCCAGGATTAGAAATATTAGGAGAGGAACAAGCCTGGACATCTAGACCTTGAGACATCCATGGGACCTGGTGGCGTCTGTCTGGTTGAATCTGTGAATTGGAGGTTCTTTGGCAAACTGATGGTAGTTGAGATTTTCTATCATTGTTGCTTCACCCCACTGTGAATGTGTAGGTGGAGGAGCAGCCTGAGAAGGGAGGGTACGGACACTATGAAGGAGGCGTGGAAGAAATGGAGGCTGGGTAGGTTAAAGAACCAGTAGTCTCAGGGTTGAGAGAGCTAACAGCATCAGTGCTGAAAAAGGGTCAAGATTTAGTACTGAATTCAGGGTTTTGTTTTGTTTTTTTCCCCTTAAATTATTCTATGTGCACTAGTCTTTGTAATTGAATCCCGGATTTCTTAAGAACAGGGACTGCATATTGTATTTCTAAAGCATCTAGACTGGTGCTGAGCATATAGCAAGTCCCTACATACTTTTTGGTTAACTGGTCAGCTTTATTCTACCTCTATATTTAAACTCTAGGAAGGTGTAGGATGGGTTTGGGCATGAACTCCTTACCTTTAATCTTTGTCGACTGTGAAGGTGCCTGTTATTATAAAGGTATTTATGTCTACTACCAGCAGGCCCAGCATGCTGCCTGGGGGCTCATAGGCAGAGCCCCCTGAGAGCTCCCTGACCTGAGATTTTAGTGTTAAAACATTCATCTGGCACACCTGCTCCAGGGTAGGGCCTAGCCATCCACTGCCCACTGCTGTGGATTTGTGGCTACCAGGAGGCAGCATGGTAGTAGTCAATTATTGACTGTCATGGAAGTGGAATCTAATTAGCTATACAGGCTGACACTGCTTAGCTTTAAGTCCACTAAAATGACATCAGGAAAATGAGTGCTATGGTTTGAATGTTTGTCCCTTCTGAAACTCATGTGGAAACTTAATTCCCAGCGTGGCAGTATTGAGAGGCATGGGACCTTTAAGAGGTGATTGGGTGATGATGGCTCTAACCTCATGAGTGGATTAATGGATTATCACTGGAGTAGAACTGGTAGCTTTATATGAAGAGGAAGAGAGACCTCAGCTAGCACACCCAGCCCCCTCGCCATGTCATGCCCTGTACAATCTTGAGACTCTGTGGAGTCCTCACCAACAAGAAGACCGTTGCCAGATGTGCCCCATAACCTTGCATATTTCTCAGTCTCTATAACTCTGTAAAGGAAAGAAATTTCTTTCCTTTATAAATTACCCAGTTGCAGGTAGTATTACAAACAACAGGAAATGGACTAACATTGAGGCACTATGTAGGACTGTTTGGGAAGAGAAGATAGATACACCATGTGTGGTTTGACATCTGTATTAATTGTGTGCCAGTTATCAACCGTCTGTCTGTGCCAGTGTCAAGAAAGAAGAAATGCCTCAATTGTGCTCCCAGGTATATTCCCAGCCAGGAGCTTCCCCGCTGGGGAAATGTGGATGCCCTCTTCTTTTGTGTGGAGAAGAGGGGAAGGTGGAGGGTTCATTTAGAAATTAACGATCTCCTCTGGAGCCCAGGAGATTGAGGTTGCAGTGAGCTATGATGATGTCACTGCCCTCTACCCAGGGCGACAGAGCAAGACCCTGTCTCAAAAGAAATTAAGGATCCCTCTTTCTGTTAGGTAGTAATAAGTAGCTTCTTGTGTTTAGTATCTCTTTCTGATAACAGAAAGGGATACATTTTATTCTCTCTCCCCAGCATAGTGTAGAAGTGGAACAGAGCATATTTTCCTGTTTTAATAAGTATAAAATTAAGTGCACAGGGTTAACAAAAATACCTAGAGCCATATAACCAGCACATTCTCAAAAATTGAATTTTGCTCTCCTGAGTGCTCCCTCCGAGCTTTCTACTATGTATTTTATATATTTTAGAAAAAAAAAAAACTTCACCACTTCCTCAGCTGATCAAAGCAAGACAAAAAAAAAAGGTTTTTCTTTAAGAGGAGCTGAGCCATTTCCCTGCTATGCCACTTTACCTTTGTGGAGAAGGAAGAAATATTACCCTGGGGACTAAAAGGAAAAATGGTGACTTAACAGCAATGTAGCAAAATTTCCTGAAACCTGGTGAAAGGAACCAAAAGAAACAAAAATAGAAGGGAAAGAGTTTGATCAACTGAAGTTTGGCATTAGCTCCCCATCTTAAACCATGAACTCCCCGGGCTATCTGCCAGCTTAAGATCAAGCTGTATTAAAGTAAAGGATGACACTAGGGCATTCAACTCCCAGTGTTGGAAAAACAGTAGTGGAGCCCCAGAGGGACCCCACAACTTGGAGAAATAGACTGGAGACCACCCTGGAGCCACGCATGAGGAGTGCAAGCAGGTCACTTTCCCCTTTTGCTTCAGCTTCTCATATGGAGGGGGATAGGTTTGGGCTGAGGGTGGTTGGCTAGAGAGATGGGAAACCATACCCTAGGAGCCAGCTTTGTAGCTGAGGGCCAACAGCACCAAACAAAGGCCATTGTGCAGAGAAAAAAATATTTGCTGAACCAACCACCAAACAAAAATCCTGCCAACTGTGGGGCTTTATTTTAACTGTATGTCTTATCAGAGTGACCAGCTTTCACTCCCTTTTGAGAGAATGAACCAAAATCCTAGCGTCTGTCCCCATCAGGACAGAGCACAACCCGATACACACACACACACACAAATTTAGAGACAAGACGTTGGCTCCAACAAGCAGAGTGCTTTTGGAGATGAAATTTCCCAGTTGCAGCTGTCCACAACCAGCCCTGATTCCTCCTATCCCCTCACACACTGCTGAACTTTTTAACTAATAATTGAATCTTCTGCAACATCCAATTCTCAAGCTTAATTTCTAAGGGAAGAATTTTAGCAGTGTCCAAGTTAATAGGAGAAAGGAGATTCCACTCTATTTTTGAGCAAATGAGTCTAGACTAGTGACTTTTGACTAGAGGCTATTTCGTCCCTTTCCTCCTGGGGGGGACATTTGGCAATATCTGAGGACACTTTTGGTTCTCATAACAGGTGTGGTATGACTGGCATCTAGAGGCCAGAGATGCTGCTTAAGGCTCCTACAAGACACACAACAGCCCCACAACAGAGAATTGTCCAGTCCTAAATGTCAGTTGTGCCAAGTGGGAGAAACCAGAGACAAACTTCCCCTATCAAAAGATTGATTAACAAAAAACCAAAAACCCCAACATGGTGCACATTTAAATTCTATGGAAAAAGTGGAGGGATTAAAATAACATTTACTAGGAAAATTTACTCAAGAGAATACAAGTATTGTTAAAAAAAAAAAAAACTGATTTATACCTTCTGGGAAGTTGAAGAAAATGTTCACTGTGAAATCAGAAGTGAAAGATGAGGTGCTGAAGTTATAAGGAAGTCACAAGAGTTCCGTATTAAATTCTAGAACTGTGCCATCACAGAGCACTTAAAACTGCATTAGAAGCTGCAAAAAGCAGGATCAGAGTTACAGAAAAAGCAAATAAGTGAGGAAGGAGGGATAGGCTCGAAAGATCACTCTGAAACAGGAAAAAAACATAGAAATAACTATAATCAGAGTAGAGTATGATGGGAGGGATATAGGAGAAGAGACAAATACGGATCCTACACACAGATTTGTTCTGTTGGGAATATTGGGAACATTCATGGAACAAATTGAACAAAGGTAACATTCAAAGATAGAAAACTTTTCTGAAATGAAAGAAGAAATTATCATGTCCCAGGAAAAATGAGTAAAATTTGACAAATAATGATCCTGGGGAACTTACTGAATTTTAAGGATGAAGAATCTCCTACAAATTAACCAAAAAATCAAGTTGGTCATATATACTTGATTTTTGTAAACAAGTTTTTATTTTTAGATTTTTAAAAGCACTTTTAGAAAACATTCTTTTTATTGAAATACACATATAGGAAGCTATATAAATATTAAGATATATAAAATCAATAGTTTTACCAAAGGCATACACCATGTAGACAGCAGAACAGAACTTTATCTGCTCTTCTGAACCTCCCCATTCCCCTACCCAGTTACTTATACCCCATCTCCTAAGGCATGAGTTGGCAGACTACTGCCTCCAGACTAAATCTGGCCCACATCTATGAGTAAAAATGGTTTTTATATTTTTAAATGGTTGAAAAAAAATCAATATTTATGACTCATGGAAATTATGTGAAATCCAAATTTCAGAGTCCATAAATAAAGTTTTATTGAAACATAGCCATGCTCATTTGTTTATGTATTGTCTATAGCTACTTTTGCTCTACATCAGCAAAGTTGAATACTGAGACTGCATTACCTACAAAGCCTAAAATGTTTGCTGCCTGGCCCTTAACAGAGTAAGTTTGCTGAGCCCTGTCCTAAGGTAACCACGCTGATCAGTTTTGCCTATTCTTGAACTTTTTATATTTGGAATCATAGTATACATTTATATACTTGCTTTTTTTTTTGGAGACAGAGTCTTTGTTGCCCAGGCTAGAATGAGTGCCGTGGCATCAGCCTAGCTCACAGCAACCTCAAACTCCTGGGCTCAAGCAATCCTCCTGCCTCAGCCTCCTGAGTAGCTGGGACTACAGGCATGCGCCACCATGCCCGGCTAATTTTTTCTATGTATATTAGTTAGCCAATTAATTTCTTTCTATTTATAGTAGAGACAGGGTATCACTCTTGCTCAGGTTGGTTTCGAACTCCTGACCTCGAGCAATCTGCCTGCCTCAGCCTCCCAAAGTGCTAGGATTACAGGCGTGAGCTACCGTGCCCGGCCACATTTATATATTTGAATTAGGTATATACCTAGTATGCATTTATATACATGTGTTAGGTGTATACCTAGAACTGAAATTGTGTGTGTTCAGCTTTAGTAGGTACCATCAGTCTTCCAAAGTGATTGTTATGATTTAAACTTGTACCAGCATTGCTCCACATTCTCACCAGCAAGTGGTACGGCCAGTCTTTGCCATTGTGGTAGGCGTATAATAGTATCTCACTTTGACTTTAATTAATTTTTTGCATTTCCCTAATGACTGATGAGGTTGGGCACTTTTTTACATGCCCTCTTTTTTTAGAGTGCCTGTTCAAATCATTGGCCCATTTCTCTATTGTGGTTGTTTGTTTCCTTATTGGGTGGTAAGGATTCTTTATTCTGGATATGAGTTCATTGTTGACTGTATGTATTGCAGTCCTCAGTGTAGAGTATTGAGATTAAAAAGTTTGAAGAATCCCATACCCAATCCAATTAAATCATCATTAACACGTAAAGTCTTCATTAAAACATTTCCAAATATGCAGGAACTCAAAAGTTTTTGGAGATGAGTCAAAATAAATAATAGATGAAGAAATTGTAATATGAAGGGGCTGGCAGTGAACACTAACTCTGTCCAGAAGTAAAGTCTACTAAATAAAGTATCACAAGAATAGAAAAACAAGCCGGGCGAGGTGGCTCTCGCCTGTAATCCTAGCACTCTGGGAGGCTGAGGCGGGTGGATTGCTCGAGGTCAGGAGTTCAAAACCAGCCTGAGCAAGAGTGAGACCCCGTCTCTACTATAAACAGAAAGAAATTAATTGGCCAACTGATATATATAGAAAAACCTAGCCGGGCATGGTGGCGCATGCCTGTAGTCCCAGCTACTTGGGAGGCTGAGGCAGGAGGATTGCTTGAGCCCAGGAGTTTGAGGTTGCTGTGAGCTAGGCTGATGCCACGGCACTCACTCTAGCCTGGGCAACAAAGCGAGACTCTGTCTCAAAAAAAAAAAAAAAAGAATAGAAAAACAAGCACCATATATACTCACCATCAAATTGAGATTAACTGATCAACACTTATGTGCACATTTATTAACATTCATTGGGGTCAGGCAGGTAGAAGGGAAGAGGAGGGGGTTGTTCACACCTGATGGGTGTGGTGCATACCATATGGGGGATGGACATGCTAGAAGCTCTGACTTGGGTGGGACAAAGGCAACATATGTGACCTGAACATTTGTATCCCCATAAGATGCTGAAATTAAAAAATAAATAATAAAAAGGTGGGGGTGGGGAAAGAAAGTCTAAATTTAAATAACTGATAATTATTTTCCTAAAACAAAAAGTAATACATTTACTCGTAATCTATTTGAAATGAATTTGTTTTTCATACACCTTTGCATCAAGGAAAGAGATAAATTTATTTTTATGTTAAACATCTTAACATGCAATAGCGAAGGGGAAATATGCTTGTGAAATATGCCTGTAGAAAGCAGGAGGCAAAGGAAAGGAGGCAGTGGGAGAAGTTGTAGAAGTGCTAACTTCTTTTTCTCTCAAAGTGTTTCCAAAAACATACTATACAATTTTCAAATTATTAGGGGTCGTGCTGGTGGGGGGAATAAAAGAAATTACAAAATCTATAGCAAATGATCAGAAAGAAAGAAAGGAAGCACTTAAACATGGAAAACATAAAATGACAGAAGACCCAAATGCATAGCAATGCAAATAAGGTAAACTTACCTATTGAATGTAAGATTAATAGCATTAAATAACACCAAGAAGGTAAATAAACCTTATTTTGTCGTGGGAAAAACAGAATTGTATGTTGGTCGTTGATACAGAGCGATACCTGGCTTCTTGTAGAATATTGCTGCAACGTTGCAAAGTATTGTCTCCTCTCTGGCACCATGAATACAAGCCCACTGCCACATTTTTTTTCTAGTTGCAAAGTAAGTTCTAATTGCAGTGCTATACAAGGTACTGTGACCATAGATACACTATTGTGTAGGTCCACAGCTGATGGTCCTTAAGTAAATCAGTTTTTTATGAGGGATTGTAAAGTGATGATTTTCTAATTGTCATTCTTTTTTACATTTAATACCTGGTATTTTTCTAAACACAGACGGACTTTGAAGACATGCTAAATGAAATAAGTCAGTTACACGATGACAGACACTGCATGATTCCACTTATATCATGAAGTTTCTAAAATGGTCAAACTTGTAGAAAATAGAATGGTGGTTGGTAAGAGATAGGGCAGGAGGAAATGGGGTGTGATTCAGTGGGTGTGCAGTTACAGTTGTACAGCATGAGCAAGTTCTAGAGATCTATGCAACATAGTGACAATACCATAGTGTGTTCTTAAAAATTTAAGAGGGTAAATCTTATGTTAAGTGTTCTTACTAAAAAAAAAGTGGTGTTCTTCATCATTTAGTTGTTTTCTTCTACCATAAAGCCATCCTAGTTATTATTACATAACTTTCTCTTATTAATAATTATCAGAATAGAAGATTTGGATTAATATCACATTTCATTAATTGGAAGTTGTGTGCCTGTATACTTTTTTAAAAAAGCATCTTTAAGATCTCTGAAGTCAGGGCATGGCTTATAATCAATCAGTGGTGTCTTAAACTAGTTGGTGGCCAGGTAGCTGTTATGACACCTGTACACACATGAATTTGGTCATAGCTTTTCATATTTCATATTTTAAAAATATGCCTATCGTCCCAGCTTGAGGGAGGGTTGGTTGAGCCCAGGACTTCGAGGCTACAGTGAATGATAATCAGACCACTGCACTCTAACCTGGGTAACAGAGCAAAACCCCATGTTGGGGGAGGGAGAAGTACAGTATGATTCAGCATTGAAACAAAAAGTTATTGTGTATGCAAAACATGGAGACTAAGCTTTTGGGCAGGAATTTGACTTTAGCAAAGCAAAAGTTTGTGGTTGGTGAAGGGACCACATTCCATATACAGTTGGCCCTTGAACAACAGGAGTTTGAATTGCGTGGGTCCAGTTACATGCAGATTTTTTTCAGTAAATATATTGGAACATTTTTCGAGATTGGCAACAATTTCAAAAAAACTAAAAGATGAATGACATAGCCTAAAAATATAAAAAATTAAGAAAAAGCTAGATGTGTCATGAATGCATAAACTACATAGATACTAATCTATTCATGTGTTGATTGATTAGGTTAGGGATAAGGGATCCCATCAACAGGATATTAGAAGTTAAGTTTTGGGAAAATCAGAAGTGATATGCATATTTTTGACTCTCCAGCGGAGTGGTGGCAATCCTAACAACCCCTGTGCCATTCAAGGGTCAATGGTATTCTTCTAAGGCAACGATCTGTTTCCTGTGTTCAACTTATATTTTTCTTTTTATGCATATATGATAAATCTAAACAAGTCTGAAAGCTTTTTCAATAAGTATAAAGAAATGTAAGTGATATGTATAGCACTGTCATGGTTTAAGTGACAGGGTTTTTATTTTAATACTAACTAAAAAAATCATGCATAGTACAACAAATGAAACAGTCACCTCCAGTGGTGGTAAGGGAGAGTTTGTCTTTTTTTCCCCTCCCTTTCTTTCTCTTTTTTGAATGTTTTTATGGACTCATGAACATTTATATACTTAATTTGTTTTAGTTAGTCATTCTTTTTGCTCAAATTGCCCCAAGTTTGGCTAGTGGGAAGCCCCTTCGGACTAGCATCTGTGCTCTTTGAACAAACCCAACCCCTCATCATTCTTTGAGCACTTCTTTGCTTTTTGTACATGTCTAGGGATTCTAATGTACTTTTCCTGCCTTAGGACTTGAATTAATCATTTCACTCCAAGACCACCTGGTTCCTTTTAGAGGATAATGG